GGGTTCTAGAGGGGAGGGGGGTGGAGGGATGGGTTAGCCTAGTGATGGGTATTAAAGAGGGCACGTACTGAATGGAGCACTGGGAGTTATATGCAAACAATGAATCATGGAACACTACATCAAAAACTAATGATGTAATGTATGGTGATTAACCTAACATAATAAAATAAAATTTAAAATAATTACTCATCCTTCTCTGCTATAATAACTAAGCTTATCACTCTACTATAGGAACCAATGTTTGGCCATTAAAAATTAAACTATTAATCACTTCTTTTCTTCCTATAAGTGGTCAGGTCTTTGCATTGGGGAAGAGGTTTGCCTACGTCCTTGAAGCTGTGCACATTACTCCATGTGAGATTATATGAAGTAAAAGGTGACAAAGAGGAGGAAAATAAAATTTTTGCACAACTCAGTGATAACTTCCCCCTCACTCTGGAAGGAGCACTGGTTTGCAGGTGTATCAGCTCCCTCTTGTGACTGTATATACGAACTCCTTTACTTAGAACTAGGAACCAAGTCAGTCTAGTCTTTTTTTTTTCTTCTTCAAGGTTTGTGTGTTAGGTCTAAAGATAAATACCTTATAAATACTACCTCCCTCTAGTGGCAAGGCTCAGTGAAGAGCTTTCTACCACAATACTCTGAGATTAAAGACTGAATTATTTTTAGTCAGTTGGGGATTTTAGAACTATTTCTGTGATATTTTTTTTCTCCCAGAAGTAGTTCTAAAAATCCCTCTCAACCAAATTCCTTTTACTTTCCTTAGTACTTTGTTCTTCCCGTGTTTGAAGGCAGTTGCCAAAACCCACATTGTTTGTTGTTTAGTATAAGATTTGGTGGAAAGGGGGCAGAAAAAGGAAATTATTAGCAAAGAATGCATTGTTTTATTTTATTTTTTGATTTAATTTATTTTAATTAAAAATCAATAACAGAAAGATCTTTGGGAAATCTCCATATACAATTGGCCCTTGGATAACATGGGGGGTAGGGATGCTGACCCACCACACAGTCAAAAATCCACGTATAACTTTTGACTCCCCCAAAACTTAATTACTAATAGCCTACCATTGACTGGAAACCTTACCGATAGCATAAACAGTCAATTAACACATATTTTGTATGTTATAAGGAATGCATTGTTTTAGGCAAGGTCACCTTCTTAAGAGGAACAGAGGGAACTCTATCTGGCAAGTTATCTCACTAGTGCTGACCAGGTAATTCCATGTTGACTCGTTAATGGTCACATTCCTGGGAGGTTGGAACTACAGTTAGGGTAGGGATTAAGTTTTGGTTTACTGATGTGGGCGTTAGCACAAATGACTCCATTTTGAGCTTCCTGTTTCTCTCTCTCTCTCTTTTTTTTTTTTTTAACAAATCTGTTAAGGGATCATTTGAGAAACCACTTTGTGGTTTATTTTAACCCAGGATACAAACATAATATCTGGGAATCTCAGGAAACTGTGCCGTATTATACATTGAGCTCAATTATGAGAACATTTTTTATAGAAGGGAAGTTTATATTAGGAGGGCTCAACTGGGCTACCACACTCCTGCCTTCTTCCTGTCAGTGGTTCACGGGTTTTCCTTAAGCTCCTGAGCAGGTGGCTGCCTTTATGGAGCTAAGGTTTTTGTTCATCTTCCACTATTACTTTTATTACTGTGGGTCTACCAAGAGCACAGAAATACACCGCCGAGTCTGTCAGTTGTAAGGGAGAGATGGTGAGACTGATGGATTTTGCTGCCTTTTGAAAGTTCACAGAGAAGCGACCGTGCTTTACATTTGGCTTGCTTTCATCCTGGTAAATGAGGAAAGCCATCTCTCTGCTGGGAAGTTGTTTATACCAATACAAAGTATAATAATTACTCCAACTGGTTTCATACTTGCAGTAAATGGTGGCCGCTTGTCCTTCTTGCATTATTACTGTTTCCTGAGTCTGGATAACTTTCTCAGCCATGCTGGATCCTATGGAGAAAGAAGACAAGGTTGGTTCTCTGAAATGTCTCAGATGGGTCATGGGGAATAGATTAATTTATGACACAAGGACAAAGAAAAGAATCACACAGCATTTCATTACCCCATCTCTCTTCCCTCTTAATACCCCTGTCAGTTACAACTTTCATAGTCCCATTCTTGAACTCCAAGAGGAAGCTGAGGCCCCATATTTAGGGCCACACTTACTGAAGCCAAAGGAGGCTATGAATGCCCACAGTAGGCCAGGGAAGAGCATGATAGAAATTCTTCTTCTGATTGAAATTTCTCTTGTTCTCACTCCAGTCCAGAGACTGGCCCTTATCTGAGTGACTGAGTGTAGAGTTCCTGGGGCTATAAGATGTTTCTGCCCCCAAACAGGAAGTAAGGTTCTCAAATAGGGTGTTATACTGCTCTATTCAGAGACTGAAAATCTATCTCACCACAAACCTCTGTTTTGCCTCGATGTTCTTCTGTAGCAATACATTCGAAAAATGACTATTATATCCAGCAAGGTACAAAAATGAAGTTATTGAATTCTCACTTAATACCATTGTGATAAAAGACTATATTCTGAATGATTTATTGAATCATTTTTGTTATTGAATTCTCACTTAATACCATTGTGATAAAAGACTATATTCTGAATGATTTAAATCCTTTGCAATTAAGTCTTGCTTTAAGATCCAGAATATAGTCAACTTTGATAAATATTCTGTGTACATTTGAAAGAATATATATTCTGTTGGTGGGGGTTAAGGTGTTCTATACATGTAAATTAGGTAAAGAATATTAATTGTGTTAGTCGTATTTTCTCAACATTTCTACTAAGAGATGTGTGTTAATGCCTGCCACTGCAGTTGTATATTTGTTTACTGATTTTTTAAATCAACAAATTCTACTAGTTTAATTCTACTGATTTCTGTTTGATATATTTTGAAGTCATGCTATTAGGTGCGAATAAAAATAGAATTGTTCTATCTTCCTGGTAGATTGTGTACTTAATCATTTTGAAGTGTTGCTCTGTATCTCTAGTAATAATTCCTGGTTTAATGTCTACTTCATCTGATATCAGTATAGCTACTCAGCATTCTTTTGGTTAGGGACTCCAACTGTCTTGTTATCCATATGCAACAGAATGAAATTGTATCTCTACCTCCCACTATATTAAAAAATTAACTTGAAATGGATCCATGACCTCAACATACAAACTCAAACTCTAAAACTCTTAGAAGAAAACATTGA